GGTATGCCAGAATCGATGATCAACGATCCAGCATTCAATTATGAAACGTCTACTACGATTAATTCGACCACAATATCAACACAAAGCTCAACAACATCATACTTATCCAATAGTGCTCCATCAATAATTGTATCAATTTCTGCGAATTTAATTATAATAATGGGAATAACTCTCACTGCTTTTTCATTCTAAATATGAGTTTAAATATTGACATGTTTTTTTATTTTTTCGTACCAATCAATCAGAAAACTTCTACTCTATCAAATACATCTTTTATTTTTCTCTTCACTCCTCACATATTCATCGAATAGTTATGAAGGACATTAAAGTAGGTTCTATGGTTGTGTGTAATTTGATCGTTTCAATAAATATGTGCAACAGAAACAAAAAGTTGTTGTATGAAACTAGTAAAACGAGAATAGATAAGATGGGGGCGTTATGAGAAGGACTACCTTCAACATCATCTGTGTGAATGTTAGTATTTTGTATGTACAGAATGCAGGAAAAACGGCAACAGATAAAACTTCCATCGGCATGGCAACCAGACAAATGGGTCTGTCATCATACTGGTCACCGACAATCAACGCTAATGAATGATCATGATCATCAACAATCGAAAGGAAAACTATTGACGTCTAGTAGAAATTTAAATTCATCATTATCATCTCAACGTATAAGTACAGCAAAATTGAAAGAACGTAAGTACTTTTTTATTTAAGTAAAAATTTATTGAAAATATTCATTTAGTGTCTTTGTTTCTTTTTTTTCTTTTAATAATCTTCAGGAATAGAAAATTTAAGTTTGAGAAGTGCAGAATATCGTCTTTCTGGTTGTAAATCAAAACTTAAGCGTTTAATTAATTCTCATAGTTCGAAGTCTCATAAAAGTTTATTGTCATATTCAAGTCGACGTCCTCTTACACCTATTTTACATATTCCTAAAATGTCGAAACAAGCTTTAAAACGATGGCTTGATGCTCGAGATGCCTATCTTGGTCATCAATATCCATATATACAAGAAAAATCTGAACATCATCGTCGTCGACGTCGACGACAAAAAATAAAATCAATAAAAGACGATGATAAGATGATTGATTATGAAGCTATATCTATGTTTTCTATTGATTCAGATCGACTTAATATGTCAGAACAAAATCGAAGTGAAAAACAACATCAATCAAGTCGAAAAATTAGTCCTACCAAAGTAAATAATCAGTCTCAAACTAGTCTTCGTCATAGTGGTGGTTTATTACAACGTGTTAAATCATTTGTACAATTACCTGTTCGTTCATCAAGTCGTCTTTCATTACAAAAAAAAGAAGAAACTAAAACAAAAATTATACATGATAACTTTGATGATAAATGTGTTGGTACAGAAATAAGTGAACCAATAATATTTCGAACAAATATAGAACGGTATGATCAAGCTATACAAGTTAATTTAGCACGTCCTCAAATTGAGTTATATCATGAATTTGATACAAGCATGGTTGAAGGTGAAAAAAAACCGCGAATACGATCTGTTCGACAATATGTCGAATATAGTGACAAAGCAACAGAGACAGAATTCATATTCAATTTGGCAAATGTCGAGAAAGAAAAAAGAGAACAAAAAGAAAAAAATGTAGTCCATGATGCTGATGATGATAAAACCACTCGATATAGTATAAAAGAAGAACAAGAAGAAATCGACTCATATATCGAACCAAATAACGTTCAAGAGCAACAACAACAACAGTCATTATCAAAAATGTCTGATACAAGTAATCATAAAATAAAAAACAATGAATCCATTCCATCACCAACATTTACTAAAACAGGTAATCGTATTGTACCATTAACAGATCTATTTCAAACATCAAATAATGATGAAATCGATAATGATCACAAACAAAATGGATCACGTTCAACAATTCTTACATCAACAGAATCAAATATTTCCATCCATGAACAACTTCAAAGGTAGAAATATAACTGAAATAAGAAAGAAAGAAAACTTTCTTACATCATGATATGACATGATTTGTTTTGTTTCGTTTTTCTAAGAGAGACTATATACATTACTTCACTCTGTCAATACACTTTTTTCTTCAGTTAGATGAACTCACTTATTCTGAGCATACATTCATACATATATGAGAAGAGAAGAGAGAATGCGTTGTCTTGGTATCCAACTATACACATTCATATAGAGAATATTGAGAGAATACGTACATAAAAAGTGAGCAAGAAAAAGAACGAATAAACTTACAGATTTATTCGAACAGTCAACTAAAGTGATATTTGAAAGGCATCTTTGAATTTTGTCATGCAGTCAGTATAAATGACTGATCATGTTTTATCATTATCATCATCAATACCAACATTACTTGAAACAAAATCCGATCATTGCAGACTGCGGATTCGTTTCAATCAATTATCACGAGAACGTCGATTATTAACTTGTCTCCTAATTCTATTTGCTATTATTATGTTTGGTCTACTTATTGGTATTTTCATACTATCATGGACATTTCAAGGTAAGTTATTTGCTAGTTTGAAGAGAGATTTTCTTTCTTTTTTATACAAAATAATGAATAAAAATCTTTTGTTTTCTCTTAATTACATAATAATTTCTTTAATTAAACATAATGTCTACAAGTAAAATACTCATTGCTAGGACGAACTCCGATTATCTATCGAGAAATAAATTCAACTAATATTGGTACCAGCGATGGAGGTAAACAGAATTCTTGAGTCTATTTATTTTTTCAAGACTTACTCTACACTTATTGATGAATTTACACGCTATTCTTATCACTTTTTTCTCACTCAACATATCTAGTCATACAGCAAAATGAACGACAATTATTGACATCGGTTACCAATATCAATCCGATAATATCAACAAACATTGTTTATACAACATTCATGACTACTACTATTCAAATGACAACAAACACAGAAAAACAACGTATGAGCATTCTATTATGCTAATACGAATAACAACAAAACAAACACTAGTGTTCACTAGATTTCTTTTGCTAAGCATTCTTCCGCGCACACTTTTCTGCTTTGAGTTCAGTCTTCTATTCTTTTTGTCTTTATCTCTTTTTTTTTTGTTATCAATTGAATGATTGAATCAAAATAATTTTAATTTTTCTCAATTTATTTAGTCGCTCGTTATGGTGAATCATGCGATTATAATAGTGATTGTGAACATCCATTTACATGTCATAAAAAAGGAGCATCAACGCCAGGTATGTGTCGATGTCCTTTAAAATACGATTTCATAAAAGATCAATGTGGTAAGTGTATATTATATTGTAATTATTCGAATAATGTAATTTGATATTAGTTGGTGATCTGAATGCGTTATGTACAAAAGATACCGATTGTCAACAATATATGCTCTGTTCAGGTATGAATGATGGAACACGTCGATGTCAATGCCAGCAACAGTTTGAATACGATCAAGATAGACGACGATGCCGTAAGTATATTCGTTTCTATATCGATTTTCACATTGAATCAGTCTTTTTTTATTGAACAATTTTATTGAACTAAAAAATATCTGATAAAATACTTAAAAAAATCATACATTTTTAAAACGTACTTTTCTTAAAGGTGGTGATTATCAAGCTCCATGTGAAAGTAATATTGATTGTCGAGCAAATCTTGTGTGTAATAAAACAACAACACCATCCGTTTGTTCATGCGAATCACATTATCAATATCATCCCTCAGTACGTAAATGTCGTGGTGATCCAGGTGCTGTATGTGATCGAGCTACAGCTGAATGCGTTGACAATGCTGAATGTCGCGATGGAGCATGTGAATGTTCACATCAGTTTGTACCTGATGAAAATAAAATATGTGGTATGTAAATTGATGAAATATTTTTGAATTGAGAATATTGTTTTTTTTGTTTCTATTGATTTAGTTGATCCATGTCCAGCACAAGTACCAAATCCTGCACGAATTCGTTATCCGGGTAATTGTCGACGATTTATTGATTGTCAACAAAAGTAAGAAATAATGAAGAAATGTTAAGTTTTATTAACTTTTTCTTCTTCTGGTTATATTAGATCGAAAACTGAATGTCCAGAAATGACACTATTCAATTTACGCACTCAACTTTGTGACTATCCTAAAAATGTGTTTGATTGTCGATAAAAAAATTTTCTTTTTTGCTCCTGGTATTATTTATTTATTTTTTTGTATGACAAACGAATTTGTCAAATTCCTTACATAGTTTCATTTTCTTCTCCTACGCTGTTCATGTCAATTCAACAACACATTTTTGTCAAATTTTACGATACACACAAGAACATTACTTTTTAATAGAATCATGTTGATATATATTTCTCAGATTAAAAAATGAATCAGTAAACTCATTATAACAAAATTCAAACTTAAAATAAAGTCTATCGAATAATCTTCATGTTTCATTGATCCAATCGTTCATATAAGTAGCTTTTATAGTCTTTCTGTTATATTTTGAATTACTTTTTTTTCAATTAAATGAAAATGAGCAAGAATCTTGATATAAAAAATGTATAACGTAAAGCTTCTCTCAAGGCTAATTTATATTTTTTGAAAAAGGTTATTGAATTTCAAAAAGCTTTTTCAACATCAGATTTCTTTTTTTTTTTTTAATAATTTGCTCAAATCGAAAAAGAAAATACATTATGAGTTTGATACTTATGCTGTGTTCTTGACAGAAGTGAATAAGTTGTCCAGAACTTGTATGTATGTAATGCAAGTACAAAAAAAGACGACTCGAGTGTTTCGAAGTACTTAAATCATGCTTGCTTTCCCTTGACGTAGTGTCATTCGTTGCTAATGTCCTTAAGTATAGCACTCGAAACGAAGGTAATTGAATTCAAAGACGCTTTCAACATGTTCTTGAGTTTTGATTCACTACTTAGTGACATGTCGTTATGTACCTTTTGAAAGAATGTATCTTGAGTTAATTTTGTGGAATCAATGCTTTGATCTGAAATAAAATGAAATGTGTAATCAGAAAATCTCTTGCTTTCGGGATATATTACGATTATAATCATCAAACTTTTGGAATAGTTCAACATAGTGCTTATTCACAAAACTGTTGGGACATTATTTCATTCGTTGTAGGACTTGATTGAGTAGACTCATGTGCAGCATATCAATAACTTTCGCATATACTTTTCGCAGAAAATTAGATTGACATGGATTAAAATTCATAAATTGATTGAAAAAATGATCTACTTAATCGATTATCTTGAATTATCTTGCCAATAATCCGATTTTCATTGATAATCGATTTCAATCTGTACAATCGCTTGAAACTTCAGTAAAGAAAAATCGAATTCCTGGATTTAAATTTGATTATCAACGATTCTATGGGTGACAATTCGGTTTTGATCGCTAGTCGATTGTAATCTGTTTAATCGATTTTCAAGTTGTTATAGAATATTAGTAATGTCTATACAGAAACAAGGATTTGGACTAATACGAGGCATTTTAAGCGAAGTTTAGATTGATATCAAGACTACGGTAGATCAAAATGTCATGTAATATTTACTCAGATAGATGCTCTCTAGAACAAACACGATATACATGATCATGAACAATATTAGTTCTCTTTCCACAACACAAAGTAGACAATCAATCCAGTAACATTACTTTTTAATCAATAGCACATTCATTCAAAACATGAATCATTCATGTTTAATCAATTTCGAAATAAAGTGAAACTGATTATTCTCGTAAGTTGAAAGCATACATGAGATGAGTAAAACGGTGAGGATACGAATTACAAAAGCATTTTACTTACAGAAACATACTACATAGAAAAAGGTAAAAAAATATGCATCCAATTAATTAAAATGTTTTAATTCATTTGAATCTTCTACTTTATAGATGAGAGTTGTTTAAAAAAATCTCGCTACAAATGGATATAAATCTTATTTTCTTTAAAAAAAAAGACGAAGAATAACAGAAAAAACTTTAATGAACTGATTATCAAGGAAGAAGAGAACCATGATAGTTTTTTGTAACGTATACTTATGTCATATTAGAAATAATAATTACATCTAAAGACGAAATCTTGACATCTGAATAATTAGTTTGACCATTCGGAAAACTCTTTTCAACCATTAAACGATAAGGTTTCAATATTTCATAAGTTATTTCACTATAAATATCCAAATATACAAGTTGTTTTAATTGTTCAAATAATTGACAAAGATCTTGTTCAAAGAGAGTTACATGTTGTACTAAATGAAAACAAGTTGTCTTGTTTTATAAGTTAATTTCATTTACGTACGAATCGATTCAAATGTTCTTAAAGTTTTTCTCCATCGTCGAACCAAAATTCCATAGACTGTTCGTCTGAAATTCAGTCGAACTTAAAATAAAAGAAAAAGGATAGGTGTGGGGTGTGAGTGTGACTAAAAAAGATCCTAAAATCAACAATCCAAACTCACACTCACACTCACACACCACAGTTACACCCACATTCCATAAAAAATTATAATAATTGACGTTTACTTTAATTTTGAATGCAGCAAGAGTCGATATAATTGTTTATATAATGTGGAAAAGTTAGCTTAGAAGATTACGTTTGACAAGGAAAATACTCGAAATATCCGTTTTCATTTTCACTCTTTCGTACCACATTCGATAAAGTGTATCAAAATAAAAAAAAAGTCTATAAGGGTTCGACTCCATCATGTACTAGCGGAGAGTTGTGACCATTATACTGAAGTTCTTACCGACCGTCAAGTATTCTGAGAAAACCAAAATGAAGAGCTTTGACCAGAAATATTACCTATAGATAGATTTCATAGTTACTAGATCGTCCTGGAAATTTCAAAGAAAATAAACACGTTATTCTCGAAGTATTCAACATATCCAAACAATCAGCGGTTTATCGTAGAAGGACTCAATGATCCACTCTATCTGGAAATTAATTGTCTCGAGAACGTCATGTTCGTTTTTGTTAAAAATTTCAGGACTATCTAATTACCATTAAACCCATCTGCAGGTCAATTTTCAGGCCAAAACTCTTCATTAACAGACTATGGACGCGAACGCTTTTACGCTTTTTCTTATTTCACTATAGTCTATCGAATGAAACATAAATGAGTCAAAGCGGAACTGGAGTCTTTGGATACTTACCCTCATTGGCCAAGTTATTATTTTTTTTTTTGACAAAGCAAAATTTTAATCGAAGAAATCTACAATTTGCTTTTCATGACTTTTGAATAAACCGAAACTTATAATGTGACAAGCGCATTAATAGTAACTGGAAAAATATTTCCTTTTCGAATAAGAGATCACACTATCTGACTAAAACACCTGAATAAGCAGTCCTATCACATGCTATCTGAGTATATTTGAGTCTAACATTGGTCCAAAAACTTTAGAAACGCTCGTTACTATTTTTTCTTTACTAAAGCATGATCATTCGTCTCATATTTTCATAAATAAGTTTAAAATTCGAAAAACAATTGATAGTACTAATATTTTTCACATTAACTTTAAATAATCATTGCAATGATCAATCAGACTCTCAACTAACGTCATCTGTTGACGGAAATAATCGATGAATTCTTTCACTGACCAATTATAACGTTAACTTCTTTCATTTCATATAATATAATGTCTATTCGATGTTTTAATCGGTTTTTATTATCATTCAAAATCAATATTCAATTTCTGTTGTTTTTAGATGGTAAATCCACCTGGTTCTAAATCTAATGAACAACGTAATGATGATATTATTTTTTCATATTTAAGTAAAATTGAAGATTTTATCATGTAAGAATTTTCATTTTATTGTTTCTTAATGTATTCTTATTATAAATTCATAGAACCGATAAGCAACGTTCTGAAACATTTGCTAATTATGTTAAACATTTTTCTGATTTGAAATGTTCATTATTACCATCATCATTTAATACAGTTACACCACTTTCAGTACATGTACGTGGTTTTGAGCCTGAACAAATTTACCAACAACTTAAATCAATAAATGAAATTCGATTTAAATCATTTCTAGCAACTATTGTTAAAAATAAAACAAAACAAAAAGCATTTGGTAATTTACTTCGATCACCATCACCAGAAAAACCATCATTGATTGAAGAAAATATTAAAAATGAAGAAAACGATAATGAAGATTTATCAATACCAACAAAACAAATTTCCAAAAAAAAGAAAAAATCTGTGACGTATGAAAATTGAATAATCATTATATTTAATTACAATATTATTCGATTTTTAGATTTTTTGATTCAAATGCTCTGAATAAATTTCTTAATGAACAAGATTTTCAAGAAATGTCAAGGTAAACTTTCTAGAAAAGTAATATAAAAATATCTGTATTTATTTAGATCAAATCGAAAGATAAATAAAGATGATGATTTTGAAGACGATAATGATATTGATGATGATGATGATGATAATCTATCTCTTGATGAAGAAAATGTAAGTCTTAAAAGTAAAATATTCTAACAAATAGATGTTTAAATCATCTATTTAGGAAGATGCAACTTATGATGAATTTTTTGATCCACCAAGTGAAAATAAACAAAAAAAGAAGAAGAAAAAAGAAAAAATTGAAATGTATGTTTTTTTTTTCTATAGTATTTACCCATACTAGATTTCTTTTACATTTGTGTAGGGAAAATAATCATGTTGACGTTGATCAAAACGAAGAAAACCAAGAAGAAGACGATGATAACGAAGAGGATATCGATCTTGAAAATCGATCAGAATTTGAAAAACAACAAATTCAAGTAAATATCATTTGAAAATTTCTTAGATACCATACATAAAGGGCATCCAGTTTCCAAACTTTTATTTTTTTACAAAGAATTTATGTATGTGTAGATGATGCGTCAATAGAATTCTGTTCAGATCACATGAAATTTTCAACTTCAGATCATGACGTGTTTTTTTTTTGATAGACATTCAACAAATAAGAGTCAAAAATAACTCACTTTACAATTCGAAATTCTCCGTGAACTTTCATTCTATAGATTTTTTTATTTAAAAGAGTATGTTTTAAATTTTTATTTTTTATGCTGAGAAAAAGAATCAAAAGTTCAATCCCTCAAAAAATGGTTATCTATATATAGAAGTGTATTTTTATATAATAATCAAAAAGCTTGATTTAAAAAAAAACA